CCTCTGCCTCTCGAGTAGCTGGGACTACAGGCACCTGCCACAACGTCCGGCTATTTTTTTGTTGTTGTTGCAATTTGGCCAGGGCTGGGTTCAAACCCGCCACCCTCAGTATATGGGGTTGGCGCCCTACTAACTGAGCCACAGGCACCACCCATAGTATTCTTATGTTTTTATTCTTTTAAAATATGTATTTGCTGGGCGGTGCCTGTGGCTCACTGAGTAGAGCGCCAGCCCCATATACTGAGGGTGGCCAGTTCAAACCTGGCCACAGCCAAACTGCAACAACCAAACAAAAATAGCCAGATGTTTTGGTAAGGAACCTGTAGTCCCAGCTACTCAGGAGACTGAGGCAAGAGAATCGCCTAAGTCCAAGAGTTGGAGGTTGCTGTGACCAGTGTGACGCCACGGCACTCTACCGAGGGTGATAAAGTGAGACTCTGTGTCTGCCAAAAATAAATAAATATATAAATATAAATATGTATTTGTTGATTTTATAATTGGATAATAGGTTTACATGGTTAAAATTCAGAAGGTATGAAAGGATAGAGTGAAAAAGTCTACCTTTGACTGCTTCTTCCCAGACATCCATTTTTCCTTCTTGTATATCCTGGAAATATATGTTCTATGCATATACAAGCATACGACACACACACACACACACACACACGCATGTGCACGAATATCTGCAATGACAGATGAAGATTTAGCTCACTCTCCCATCCCTACTATTCCCAGCTGTTACCATTTTTAGTTTTCTATTGGTTATCTTTGTCAGTATTCTAAGTACGTCTATACTTTTTATTCCATTAATGATAGTCAATATCTTGAATCCCTTTCATGTAAGAAAAGAATATTAGGTACTCTACCCATACACCTTTACTTCCCACTTCTTCCTTTTACTTCCTGGCAGCTGTAATTTTATATAGTCAAGCTTGACTGTCACATTTTCCTATATAACCACATTTAAATCTTCCATTCTTTGTCTAAGGTGCATTCTAAAAATTAAAAACTATTAAGTAGCTTTGATATAGTTCTGTATATGAAGACATCATTCACTGCAGGTCCCAGTAGTGTGCTTAGATGCTTTTCCTTTTCTGTAGTTACTGAGTTACAATCTTGGGCCTCTTATAAAAGAATGTTCCTAGTGTCAAGGTCAGATAGTTCTCTTTTCTCACAATCCAGCAGTTGCTTAAAATCATGTCACATTTTAGTTTTTTTCTTTCTTTTTTTTTTTTTTTTTTTTTTTTTTTTTTTTTTTTTTTTGCAATTTTTGGCCACCTCCAGTATATGGGGCTGGTGCCGTACTCCTTTGAGCCACAGGTGCCGCCCTGTTTCTTTCTTTCTTTTTTTTTTTGAGACTGAGCCTCAGGCTGTTGCCCTGGGTAGAATGCCATGACATCACAGCTTACAGCAACCTCCAACTCCTGGGCTTAAGCAGTTTTCTTGCCTCAGCCTCCCAAGTAGCTGGGACTACAG